CCACATTTCAGAATATTTTCTTCTCGTAGTCAACCGCAGAGGTTCCTCACCTGACACGAAGTGCAGTCCACAAACCCTTCGTTTGGCACGAAGCTTTTTTGTCGAGATCATAGACTTAATAAAATAATCTATAGCGAAGGCTCCCATGCGTTTGTTCACTTCGGTATAGCAGGGCATATAAGCGGACATCGGCGGCCCTCAGTTGACGGTCCCGATAACCCCATATCGCTGCCGACGCCTTTCTATGCACAAAGAAGCAGGAAGACATCACCTGTGAGGTATGCACCTTGTTATTTTCGCTCTTTCTTTGCAGAAAAACACCAAGATCGTGCATTGACAAAATTTTAAAAAAGTTGACAAGCGCTCGAGCACTCCTAACCCTTCGGCCGCGTTCAAACTCGCATAAAACTCTCTTGTCGCCGACCGAATTTACTCCGCGGTAAAAGACGGCGCCGTCCACATTTCTTGCCACCCGTCGCGTCCGCGCGGGTCCTGTCTCTCGCAGATATCAGAGCACACTGCCCCTGACTCGAGTGGTGTTTTAAAAAATGCTTTCGCAGATTTCCTTTCGCACTTAAGGCCAAAACCAAGTGTCGAGAAAATGTGCAACAATCTCTCGGCGATACGTAAAGGAAATATTAAAATAACGAGCAAACGAAGACAACGTGCTTACGTACTCCTCACGCCAATTTCAATCCACAGATCTTCTTTGTGGACACTGTCTTCGTCTTTTAGATTCCTCTTTTCGACCAGGGATGAGTAACTGAGTCTTAATCACCATTTCTGCCGACACGCGGCGGCCTTTTGGCGGCGCCTTTTGCGCAACTTGGGAACTCCGGCAACTCTGGTGGCCACCCCAACAACTCGGGCGACTCGCCGGCAAGCGCCATTTCCTCCGTGCGTTCCAATTGGTTGTGACGGCGTGGAAACGTTTTCTGCGCGATACAAATCTGTACCTGACCGATTGGTCCCGAGATCGAATATTCCGTCGCCGGCAACAGTTCCCATTTGCGGATTCGCCTGCGAATCCGCAAGTCTGAACTAGTGATTCGTCTGCTTTCTTTCCGTGCTCTTGTGTCGCTTCTCTTTTTCGCTTACAGCCCCAGACCGGAAGTGCGCTGTACGCCCCACCACCCCGCCGTGGCGTAACAAAGTTCAGTTCGTGTATGCTAGCCCCATTTCTAATTACGTGCCCCGTTCCCGTTCCCAACTAAAAGGCATGAACATCGATTTACTCTTCCCACGCTACTACGGGGCATTTCGAGGCATTATTCGGTCGAAAAACAATCACCGTGTGTATAGGCGAAGGAGCGGAACGCAATAAACGTTTTTTTCCACAGGTTCTCCAGACAGTGCACTTTTAAACTCAGATTGCTTGAGTGTAGGTTTCTGGGTAAAAAAAAGAAAACGAAAGGAGAGAAAATGGTGTTATTCCTTTGCACAGGGAGAAACGCGGAAAATATTAAGTCTGGTTCACGCTACAGCTCACAGATGGCAGCACACACGCTCGGATAGTATGGATCTGCTTTTCGGTGTACGTCTATCAAGTTTTTCTCCCATATAGTGCCATTTGGGGGCAATAGCTTTAACCAGACGGTTTGATTCTGTTCTCAATCTGTTTATAAGAATTACTATCTTTCTTTCTTTTCTTTTTTCCTTTGCACTCACAAAATTTTACTATGACAAATGCATGAAGAATGATTTTCATCATTCTTGTCCAGCTCGCTTGCACCTTTGCAATTAATTGCATTCTAATTATAACAAATGCATCATCGAAAATCACCTTTGTGAAAAGTTAGGCAGCACTCTATTCATTAGCTCAATCAAGCAGGTTTCTTTTTTCTTTTTTTTGTGATAGCGTTTGGACACATTTTATATCAGAGCCATTTAGTGACCGCGACTGTAGGTCACGGTCACTAAAAGTAAATGGCTCCGATGTAAAGTCTTAAAATCCAAAAGCATTTCCTCCGTGAAATCTTCTTACTTACGAGAAATGCTTAGAATATATAGTAAAGATAATCTAGAGGTATAAAAAAAGAAGTGCGTGGAAGAATAGGAATACGACTGCCTCGCCTCTCCCACAAAATACCGACGCGGCAATATTTGGTGTTCACCCTCAAAATGTTATCCATGCGGCATTATTTTGTGAATAGGTTGCTGCTAATCGCGTAGCAACAGTAGAGCTGCGAGCGACCTATCGGGCAGATGTTCTGCTGGGTAGCTTCGACATATGTGTTTCGAAGATATGTAGTTGATGGGCTCAATCACACGCTCTAATGGACCGATACGAGTGACACTTGACGGAAATACACATGTGCATATCCTGCGTCAAAAACCACTGTTATCATTTTTTATTGTATCGGTGTCCGTGGTGAACAACTCACAGCTGGTACAAGGTCAATTCATATAGGTCGCGAAAGTGGAGCAAAAAAGCGGCCCAAAACCAATCGTTAGCGTCGTCACCCTGGAGGCCGCGCTACCGCAGCGCGACTATGTTTTGCGCGGCCAAGCACTAAGCTGGTAAAATATTAAAGACACACTTTCAGTGTCTTATATAGTTGACTTTAAATCAAAGTATTATTTATTAATAATAAATTAGTTTAAACATGTTTAGTGTGGTGAATTTTTCAGGTTATGTTTAATATGTAATATGTTATGCATACTTGTTGCGACATCTACAACGTCGCTATTTTTCGCCGTCGGCAGAAGTTCGCAGTCCTGATACGCCTCGTGTTTGCATTGTTTGCGTTCGCCAGTGTGTCTACGTTTCTGTAGCTCCCGTCGAACTTTCACTTTTTGCAATAGTTTAAAACGACTTCGTGGTCTTAAGTTTTCCAACGAACGGTCTGGACTAGTTGAATTCTATTGCGCCGTTTGGTTGCTTTTGTCGTCGAGCGCCGGACGGGCGCGTTCAAGGCTCTGTCGTCGGGACGATGCGCCCGCCCCATGTAAAGAGGCGCTGCGCGGTAGCGCGATCCCCAAGTGATGACTGCACCGCTGGCATCACACTCCATCGTTTTCCTGTAGACGCTGCAAGGTGAAGCTTGTAGCAGCTGTGTCCGCTGCAACTATGTGTGATGTCCTGATGTCCGTTGTCCGGTGATGTCTGGTAAGCTCTTGACCTCTTTTATGGGCCCTCATGCATGCTCATTTAGTAATTACCACTCGTTGATCGAGCTTTTTTGGGCCCAGTCTCCGTTCCAAGCTTCGCGAGACGAAACTAATCTTAGATATTAGTGGCGGCTTTGCTTGACCTCTGCTGAACGGCTGCGTGACCCCAAAAACCTAATAAGAAACAATGACTGAACATTTCAGTTTTAACGAACTTTCATGTTATGGTGTGAATAACACTAAAACGTCCTTTCTGCTTGAAACGTGTTTGGTGTCGTCCCTCTAACGTGCTGGCGACTATCAGGTCTACTTCCTGTGGATGTCGTGCTCGGGAATCTAGTAATGTAATCGTCTGCGTTGTGAACCTATCTAACCTCACGGGCACAGAGGTGTGCTCCTCGCTCATGGCGTTCGCTGGACCCAGACGGGAGACCAAGTACAATGATGTGACTAGTTTATCGCTAACATTATTGTGTAATCTTTTCTTTCTTAAATGTCCACTTTAGCCAAGGGTATGTAAAGTAATACACTGCTTCACATTCAGGCGGAGGGTCTGGATTGAGTTCTGCCGGAACAGAAGCCTACAGAACAAGACACCACAGCAGCTGCGGGAACGGGTGGTATGCTCCAGGCACTTCAAACCCTCTGCATTTCTTTACCGAGGAAGGCTGCGTCGTGATGCAATACCAGCATATTTGACCACTGAGGGTGAGCACGAAATATTGTTTTCATTATTACTGAGTATAATAATGACTTTATTTTACCATACAAGTATGATGGGAGCTGAGGAAAAAAGTTGTGCAAGCAGCTTGACTGGTCCTCAGCCCCCCACAGGTACACAGCACTGGGGAAGTCATACACAAGAATTTATATAATACAAAATACTTAACAGCAAAAAATTAACGAAACAAGAACAAAAGCAAAAATCTTCTAGCTAATCAAGAGCAGTAAGGATTGTTTAATTATAAAGAAAATAATCCTTAAGCGCACACATATTGGAAGATTCGACATCAAATTTAGAGCCCATAAGAGTGTTCAGTAATGTTGGCAAGCTTATTTTAATCATTTTGAGGCCATAATCTGTTCGTGACGTTTCTACTGCCCAAACATCGGAGTGACGGGGGGAATATGTTGCAGCTTTTTTTCGAAGTGATGATAATGACAATAAAAAACTGTTTAACTCGCAACATTCCTGTTTATACTTTATGCTAAGTTTGAAAGCATAGTGATCAAATATCTTCACTACACGCAGCTCTCTGAAAAGTTGGTCTTTTGACCAACTTTGAAAAGATGAGCTTATTCAGAAAGTATTTTACATGCAGATACAGGGAACTTTTTTAGTGTACATTACGTGTGTGCTTAACTTTGCATAGGTGCCGGAGATGCCGTCCAGAGCAGCAGCCCTGGCCAATTGACTAGCGAGGGCGAGCCCACACTGGCCAGCAGCAGTAGCACCGATGGGCCCACATCATCACGGTGTCACAAGCACCACACTACAGAAGAAGGTAAAAGCAATTGCATATTGGCGGAGAAGTGTTGCAGGCCTTGTTTCTTATATATTTCGGACTGTCGTGAAGCAGCCATCTTTGGGAAACATGTAAAACATGTATGAACACGTTTTTAATCTATAGTCCGCTGCAACCTGTGAACGAAGGGCGAGGGTAAGACGGGCCGGGGAGGAGGAAGCAGACGGAACGCTAAAGAGAGAAGGAGGTTCTCCTCTCTCTTCTCCAGCGTTCCGTCTGCTTCTTCCTCCCCGGCCTGTCCTACCCTCGCCCTTCGTTCTTAGGTTGCAACGGGCTACAGCTTGTCACATGCCGCAGGAATTTCCTGAAACAATACAATGACTGATGTTTTTGACAGATTTTTTTAATTGCCTCGTCATTGCTTTGCAGATGTGGGGAGCAGTCTCACGGCTCTGACCTCTGGCACGAAGACTAGCCCTCCAACCAGAGTTCATGGTAAGTTTTTATAGTGTGCGTTGTTTAGGACAGTCTTTGAAGACTACTTTGTTGCGTAGTACTTGACCAGTCATAGCTGGCTCAGCTTTTTGCAACCACTCTTTCACTTTGTTTCCATCGTTTTGTTTATTGTAGTGGATCACACATACGCGATGCAAGGCGCGATGGATGGACATGGCCCGCCGTCTGGAGGAAACGATGTGTGGGCACCTGAACCTTCCCTTACCGATTATGATGCGTCGGTGTCTTCGACTTCTGCGGTTCCTCACCAACGTAGGTGTCCATCATGATGCACAAAGTTTACTTGTACTTCCACATTTTCTTCAGAGGAGGCACATTGTTTATTTCATTATTTCTCGAAATGTTTCATAATTGCTTTTGCTTTCCCCTTGCAGGGTCCTGTGCCACCCGCACCGAGGGCAAGGGGAAGATGGACGTGTTGAGGGCCAGACTTCGACAGCTTCGGAAACATAACAAGAGACTCCAGCAACGACTGCAGCGACGGCGTCATATGCTGACTGTCACTGAGATAGCTGAAAGTGTACGTAGCCTCGTCTCTCCAGCCGTTGCTGCCCTTGTGGAAGCTCAGCTGAAGATGACCAATGCGAGCAGGTTCGGCAGGCGGTGGTGCAGCCAGAACAAAGCCTTTGCCTTGGGCTTGTACTTTCACAGCCCTAAGGGTTACCGGTACTGTAGGCGATTGTTGAGACTCCCATCCGATAGGTCGCTACAGCTTTGGCTTCAGCGTGTTGCCCTGAGGGTTGGTTTTTACCCAGAAGTTTTCGAACTAGTCAAAAGACGTGCAGCTTCTTTTTCACCAGAAGACAAGCCATGCATTATTGCCTTTGACAAGATGCACGTCACGAAAGAGCTCTCGTACAACCCCTCTGTGGACAGGTTTGAAGGGCTCGAAGAAAGTAACGCTGGAAGAGGCCATAACCTTGCAAACAAAGCTCTTGTGTTTATGGCTAAAGGCATTCGTACGATATGTAAGCAGCCACTGAGCTATTTTTTTGCTCATGGGGGAACACCTGCCAACATTTTGCGTGACCTTCTTTTCCAGTGCCACAATTTGCTTGTGAAAGCCGGCCTGGAGCCAGTAGCTGTCGTATGTGACCAAGGCAATCAAAATGTTGCTCTTTTCAATGGCCTTGTTACCCCTGAGAAGCCCTACGTAACTGTGAATGAGAAGCCACTTTTTTTTCTATTTGATGTTCCACATCTGCTGAAGTGCTTACGAAATATGTTCTTCAAGTACAATTTTCAAGTTGGGGACCACACGTTGAGAAGCTCTTTCCTCAGGGAAGCTTACGAAAGAGACAAACAGCTTGAAATCCGATCCATGCCAAGGCTCAGTGAGAAGCATTTTAATTTGACTTTTGCCTCCAAAATGTCAGTGAAACTAGCAGCGCAAATATTCAGTAATCACTGTGCTGCTGCAATGTTTGCCATGGTAACTTGCCAGCAACTGCCAGTTGAAGCTATCCACACGGCCCAGTTTATTGAAAAAATGGATCGTCTTTTTGATAGCTTGAACAGCTCACAGAAACGCGGGAAGAGTGCATATGTGTCTGCAATGCACGAAGGCTCTGTTCACAAGGAGTTTCTGAAAGAATGCCTTCATATGTTCGAAAGCCTTACCGTTCTTGGGTGCCCACGGCAGCCTGCTTGTATTAGCGGTTTCTCCTTGACCATTCGGTCTATTAGGCTGATTTGTGAGCACCTGACATCTGAGTATGGTTTTGGATACCTCCTGACTCGCCATCTCAACCAAGATGCACTCTCGAAAACACATTCTCCGTAATAAGGTCAAAGTCTGGTGCGAACGCCAATTCCTCTTGGCGGCAGTTTCAGGCAGCCTTTAGACATCTCCTAGTTAGCAACTTGTTTAAACTGTCTGACAAGAGGAACTGCGAAGAGGACGTGGCAACTCTTTTAGCGGCTCTTCCGGTTGGTTTCTCATCTCCGTCAGCTTCACTTAGTCTAGGAAGCTCACTTCCACAATGTGCAGCTGACCTCACATCCTGTAGTTATCCCACTTTATTATCACTTAACAACATGGTTTACTTTGCTAGATGGCTTGCAACAAGGTTTATCAAATATCACACATGTCAAAACGTGACTCAGCAATGTGAATTGCAAATCAAGAATGCCACTTTTTCTGATGACAGCCAAGTGTTGTTGTATTTGAGTGTGAAAGAAACGGCTGAAGGAGACTTTGGAAGCCTCTCGGTCCCCTCACCTTGCTTTGTTTCTTTCGTTCAAGCTTGTGAGAAGGTTTTTGTGGCGTCAATTGACAGTCTTGTTTTGGAAGAAGGCGTTGGGAAGGCGTTGTGCATCACTCTTCATGAGAAGGTCGAAAAGCTGCTGACACTCTGCAGTGAGGATGTCTATGGTGATTTATTTGCTTTCTTTACAAGGGTGAGGCTTCATTGGTTCGCCCGTAAAAAAAATACTGAGCTCCTTGATGCAGCTGTGAGACGCAAAACCCAGCAACGAGTCCAGAGGCTGTGCAGATGAGACATCACTTGCGTTATGCCCACAGGAAGTCCCTTTAGTTTGTCTTACGTGTTGCATTCAACGATCACGCTGGCATACCGGATTGTGCGAGTACATGCCTTTAAATTATCACACGGTTTGCCGAAACTGTCTACTGTGATGACCAAATGAATCTATCATACTTTAAATTAAGTGTAAAAGTTTGTTTCTAATGCTCAGACAGTGCAATCAACGTATAGGTTCAGCTAGATGAACTTGAATTTTCAATGAATCAATATCAAAATTTCAGTGTCACAGCATGCAAAACTAATTTTTTCGTTCTAAGTAAAATATGTTAGATTCATTCGACCCTCGCTGTATAGTGCTAGATGACGTTGCTCACTGAATGATGGGACATGGTGTCTACCAAATCACTTATTCCAAATTTCCCAATTTTCCCAAGGTTTTCCTCTCTATTTCGATAAAATGTTGACCGTTACTTCGGTTCAGGGAGTGCCTAGTGGCCTGCGCTGCCTAATGACGTGTCGGGCAACGTTATTCAGTGCAGCGGCACCACCGTGAAATCCTTGTGCAATCATCGGGCTTCGTTGCACGCTGCCGTTCCACTTTCGCTTATAATTTTTACTGATTAGGAACTTTTTACGATTCCCTTTATATTACCCTGTTCTTCAAATATAATCCCCCTTACTTAAATAGTTTAAGTTTTCCAGGTTGGTAGACACCCTACACACCCTGTGCATTATTGAGGAGTGTGTGAGAAGAAGCGTTGACCTCGATGTTTTCTTGTGCAGTTTGACGACTTGAGACATAAACCTGGATTAATGTTTGGTTGTGTGAGGTACACAAAAGTATATCAAACTGCGATGAAACGTAACTCAGTGAGTCAGTATGGTGCTAACAATTTGCCACAAAGCGAATTATTATCTTTTTTCTAATGCTTTCTTTCCTGTCATTTTGTGGCAGTTTCCTGCGTACTAATCCTCACATAAATAGCCAAGCTGTGGAGCGCAATATGTGTGTGACGAGCGCATGTGCTATAACGAAACGTCTCAATTTTCAATCTCTTGAAGCATTAATTCATGCGGACATTCCAATGCAAAAGACATGCATAGCCCCGCACCTCCACCTGTGATTGATATAGTTAAATCTAGTTACGAGCTCTCAACGTGAACAGTACAAGATAAATGCGTAAACGTGCCTCCCGTCGAGAGTATTAAGTGCGTGCATAGAGTTGTCCAGACCTTATTTCACTTCCTTTTAATGCCATATCTATCATCAAGTGTTCAGTGGTGGTGTTGTAAGTTTGTATATAATAAACTGTGTAAACCAAGCTTGTGCCTTTTTGTCTTTCTTTGCGAACAAGCCGGTATTACAATGATAAGTACGCCTTCATAGGCGTGCTGTAACACACTGCTTAGTTGAAGATAGTAACTTATTGGTGGTTCCCAGAACTGATAAAAAAACTGGTTCTTTTGGGAGAGGGATTACATGGGAGTGACTGATACAAACAAGGCTATTAAGCGTGAAGCAAGGTTTGAAGGACGGTAGCAGGCATGTAGAACATCTGAAAAACTTTAAATTTCGCGCCACGGGCGAAAATCATTTAAATTTCGCGCCGAAAACAATCGTGACGTCACAACCCTATTGAAAACAATTCTAAAAGGCCCATCAGCCTTGAAGGATTATGGGACCTCACAGGCCTTCAAAACCCTTCAAAGATACCCTTCAGGTATACCCCTCAGAAAAAACCCTCCAGCCCCACAGCCCTTCAACCCAAACCCCTTAGCCCATCAACCCTTTAGACGCCTAAATGACTCGGAACCATAGACAAAATTCAGTTCAAAACGTTATTGAAAATTTATTGCGGACATTGATCGAGTTTTACATGCGTATTAAAACTCAAAAAGACGATAAAAACGAACGCTTGTTCAAACCTGGGCGCAAGCAGCCGTCGACGAAAGAGATCATATCAAATAGGAGCAACTAACTTCTTCATCACAACGAAAAATATCTTTCAAAGTACTCACAATGCCGTTGGGGAAATTCCTGATGTACGGTACTTCAGCTAATAAAACGGAGCAGGTGCATCTCAGGTACACATACACAGTCTCAGTAAGCACGTTTAGCGAAAACCACGAACTCGCAAGCAGATCCCGTCACCGTTGAGAAATTCCGAGCACAGTCACGGTTTCGTCCACGATGTCGTCGGGGCAGCGTCTTCGGCGTATTTTTCGCTCGCTGGATGCTTCTGAGGCCGGTCGGACGAAGAGGCGCAAGGAACAAGGCGCGACAGCGGCCGTCATCCACCGTCCCAGGACCCACAGTGCTATGATCCCGGTGCGCAGGCACTACATGCGGTGGGACGCTGATCCCGACTGCCAGGCTTGCTGCGAAGAGGCCGACACCGGCCACCATCTCCTTGAATGCGCTGAACTCGATGGCGCTCGAGCGGTGCTGAAGGCGGCCAGCGCCGAACTGGGGTTCACCTGCGGATCCAAGGTTCAAGGAAGAAACGGCACGGATTAAAACAGACCAAGGGGCGAGCCCTCAAAGCAGTGCTTACCTTTCTGGATGTAGGAAACCGGTCCGTTCCAGATCTCCATGGCAGTGAGAAACAAACCGCCCACGAGCGGAAAGAAAATGGCTATAGCGGCCTCCTGACTTCTTCGTCCTCACACCACTCTCTCCCGCCGACCATTGGAGAAGCGTGCTGTCCGGAACTGACGGTATTGCACCCTCTCCCCATTGCCCGGCGGAGAGAAACGCAGTGTGTGTGTGTAGGCAATGTAAAAGGGGGGGGGGGAGATTTGAGTTGCCTGTTCGTGTTTTTGGCGACGACGAAAAAGAGAGGAATTCCGACTCTGAATGAAAAGCAAAATAGTTTTGTTCATTTTTTTTTTTCTTTTTGGGGACCATTTCCCGCGGGGAAACCGGTTCCCGGCACGAGTCGCTGCCGCTTCGCCCCCGGAACCTCCCCAGGGTCCCTGAATTTGGGGAACGCGCTTCTCTCGGCTTGCCCTTTTTATTATTATTAGTGCAACAAGTAAAGCTTGTTCGCCTTTAAAACGCCGCTCGGCCAACAACACTCGGCCCGCGCCTTGTCAATTCTCCACATGGGGCGATCGAACCCGTAGCCCCCATGGCGACCGAACACCCGGCCAGTGACAGACAGGTCGAGGAGCC